CTTCCTTCCTTCCTTCCTTCCTTCCTTCCTTCCTTCCTTCCTTCCTTCCTGATTGCTAGATTGACTATTTCGGTCATTCATTAATCTCTACAGCTCACCTGATACTGGGGCGCCAAATCTACCAGTCATGACATCAAAGAAGTTGCCGATGTTGGTCTCCACGCTGCTGAAGATAATCCCGCTGTTCTGATTGCTGAAGTGAGTTGCCAGGGAAGCCATGAATGCAATCTAAGGAAGGAGTTGACAGTGAATTAATAGGCAATCTATTTTAAAGAAATGAGATTTTTATACATGTAAGTTTATTTCAACATTATTTGTAACAGCAAGGTGGAAGTCAATTAAACATTAATCTATAGAGAATGAATTAAATAAATCATGGTAATTTCTAACATTTTTATGCTATGTAGCCATTAAAGTGATCATATATATCGACAGTTCTGATCATGTGTTTCAAGGAACATTAGACCTTATAATGCTTTCTGAAATATTAAAATTCTATTATCAAAGAATATTGGGATTATTTTGGTGAAATCTTCCACTTATAGCTATTAAATGCACATTAGAATATTAAAGATCTGAGAAGCCCAGTAGCCAAACGACTTTTTACTTTTGTTTACCCTGTGTTAGTCTTTCCCCAAAAGAGTTGTGATAAATATACATTTAGTCTTCATCTCCTCCCAAGAGTGATCACGGTATCTTTGTTATGTTAAATAAGTGACTTTTGCAAAGCAGCATAGATAAGCTAAAGTTGGGGCAGGTTGCCAGTGGAGCCAATCATGTGATTAGAAAGTTGAAAGTTTCAGTCCCACCCGGACCTTCCAACCTCTGAGAGGAAAGAGGTGTTGGCGATTGAGTTCAATCACCAAAGTCTGATGATTTAATAAATCATGACTATGTAATTAACCCTCCATAAATACCCAAAAGAAAGGAGTTCCAGGGGTTCCGGGTTGGTAAACACCAAGAGATTTGGGGAGAGGGCACGGAAGCTCCACACCCTCTGCCTATACCTTGCTCTATGCATCTCTTTTATTTTGATGTTCCTGAGTTATAACCTTTTATAATAAATCAGTGATACAGCAAGTAAAATATTTTTCTGAGTCTACGAGCCACTCTGGCATATTAATCAAACCTAAGGAGGGGATTGTTGAAATCTTCCATCTCTAGCTGGACAGTCAGAAGCACAGGTGACAACTTGGACTTGTAATTGGCATCTGAAGGGGGAGGGACAGTCTAAGCCCTTATCCTGTGGGATCCGATGATGTCTTCAGGTAGTGTCAGAATTCAGTCGAATTGCAGGACACCGGATAAGCTGGTGTTGGAGAATTGCTTGGTGATGTGAGAAAAACCCACACATGGGAATTGTACCACCATTGGAGAGTCACATTTGAAAATCAATGCCAAACCCCTGTCCAAAAGAGTCATTGAAACTGAGTGTGAATTAGATCTATAATTTCTTTAACCTGCTCGGATCATCTGTTTTCAATGAATAAAAATCTTAGGGAGATAGATGAGAGGTCAAATAATTTGAAGTTCTGGAAGACTTGGGGGGAAGGCAGGTCTGAGAGAATCAACATAGAAAGGATCTTGACAGTCAGAAAGACAGCATGAGGGCACAGGATGCAGAAGGATGTCCCCATAGGTGACACCAGAGAAGTTATTTAAAAATAGAAATGAAGGGTCCCAGAAGTCACCCTCCTTTACAATCTGCCTAAGGCCAGTCTTTCCTCCTGTGTGATACCTGCTTTAAAACAGGTGAAAGTAGTACTCTCAAATGATTACATTGTAGTTTTAGGGTCAAATAGTTAATGAAGCAAATTTAATAATTACTTAAGGTGTTCTTCATTAAACAGGCTATTCCAGGGCCCCTTAGCCCAGGTACAACCATTCACAGGCTTGGGATTAGAGTTTCCAGCTTTGAGAATGTCTATCATCCACTTTATTAGGTAAATTTAACTTGCCAAGGAGAATATGTCTCCTTTCCTTTGTAAATTTATATTGGCACAGGGATCCCAGGTTGCTAAAATTATTAAACAGCATTCATTTAAAAAGTTACAAAACCATAAAAGCCGTCAAAGTAATACACAGGACCTTTTAGTTTGCAATGCCCAGAAAAATGGTGGAATTTATCCGTGGTCAAATGACCACTATATATGCCCAATGCAAAGGCAAAGTTTTTCCCCAATGATCTTTCGGACAAGAGTTGCTTTATATCCTAGTTCTTTAAAAGTCTCTCATATTACTGTACATTTCCTCAATTTATTTTAACCGCAAGTTACTGTTTCAGGAAGACATACCAGCTAGAAACAACTTTAATACAAGATGCTAACTTTCACTGTTCACAGGAGTCCCTTGGAAGATCAATTTAAAAAAATATTAGCCAAAAATAAAAGTAATCCAGTAGTTTTCTTGGTGACCACACTTCACATTGTATTTTTTAAAATTTATTTATTTAAATTAGTTTCAAGTATACAGTACATTGGTTAGACATCTATATAGTTCATAAAACAATCTCCCCATTGCTCCCTCCCTTCCCTGGCCCTTCACCTAGTCATCATATTAATGCTAATTGCATTTCCACTGCCATGCTCCCCATCCCTGTGACCAACTATCCACTACTAATTTGTACTTCTTTAACCCTTCGCCCCATTCTCCCAGCCCCCTAGAACTTCATATTTTCAAGTTTTACATGTTATTGGCATCAAAAATTTTGAAGATCACTTAAAAAATAAAAAACAGACAAATGAGTACGTGAGCTTGGGATAAAATATTCAATTATAGCCTCATAAATGGATTAAAAACACTTGAAGCTAAAATGAATATAATCTGATCTGGAAATCTGTAGGTGGATAACTCAAAATAAAATGTCTCTAATGATAAAGATACTGATGAGAAAAGTTTAGATAAAAATCGTGCCACAAAATCTGAGTTGATAGAAAGCAATATTTATACATTAAAATCCATATATGCGATTTAGATGCGGTATGTAAATGCAATAAAATTAGGAAATAACTGGAATGGTCAAATATCTACTTATAATATTTTATATATCCAGAAGTTTATGTATTCGCGTTGCTGGAAACCTTTTTATTTCATATGTCTTCTCTTTTGGAAAATGAGAGATGAACTGATATTCACGATTGTCTTGTACTTGATCTATTGAGGAGTTAAATTTCACCCTTCATAAATTTCCCTGCTTCCTAAGGATAATTGCAAAGCACTCCGAACAGCTCAGACCTCACACAAACATCCTGTGCTCCAGATGAACAAACTGAGATTCAGCTTTACTTAGCATTGGTGAGCACTTGAGGAAGCGCTCACGCCTTCTGACTCGCGGACCCTGATTGATGATCAGGACAATCTAGAAGTCACCTGGAGATGTGTTGAGGACATTTTACCTGCAGTTCTGGTGGAATCCCCGGGTAGCCCTTCTCTCCTTTGGGGCCATGCTGCCCCCGCTCCCCTCGTGGTCCCAGGTCACCTTTGTCTCCTTTTTCACCTTTGGCCCCTTCATGGCCAGTGGCTCCATTATTGCCATTGTTCCCATGGTTTCCTTAAACAACCAGACATCATCACGTGAGAAAACCCAGTCACTCATACTCCCCGTCCATTTGCACACATCTCCTTTCTTCAAACATGTACAAACTCAATTGTAAAGGGGGTCCATTCGAAACAAGCCCAAATACAACCGTGGAGGCATCATCAAATGGGATCTCTTTTAAATGGGACACTGAAAACAACCTTAGATACTCTTAAGGCTCCAAAGCCTCTTTTTCCTATAAAGCAAGACCTGGATGAAAAACATGTAGAAGACTGATTATCAAAGCATCATTTACAATAGCAAAGATTAGAAACCACCTAAATGTCCACCAAAATTGGATGTACTTAGTAAAAAAATGGTTCAACCCAGTAAACGATGTTTTATAGTCACAGAAAGAATGCTAAAGAAAAATATTTAATACCATTGAATAATATTTATGTTTTAGATAAAAAGGTTATAAATCAATAGGGATAATATGATACTACATGTGTGTATATATAATATCCGGAATACTATACGTGTGTGTATATATAATATCCAAAGGGAAAAAAGACTAGAACAAATTACTGAACAATGTTTACAGTGTACTTTTCTCCTGAATGGATAGAACATGAGTGATTTTTGTGTCATTCTATATAATTTCTGTCTTTTTCAAGTTTTTTTACAAAGGCCCTGTACCACTTTCATAACCGCGGAAAAAGTAAAATCACTGATAAAAAAAAATTATAATAATTTTGAAAGCATGACTTAGATAATGATTTTGACTCTTTATTTTGCTACTAAGAGACAATTTCTATACCTTGTATTTGTTTAATTGTTGAATTTCAGGACTTTTGCTATTAATTTTTGCCTGCTACCTTTGGTCGGGTACTCATATCTGGCTTGCAATCCTTCCAAATAAATGAACTTTGACTGTGTTGACAGGTTAATGTGCTAATGACAAAACTGTTCCTAACAGGAACTATTTAGGCCAGCCTGCTCTGTCACTTGAGAAGAGTTTAGACCAGAGAAGAGTTTAGGAGGGTCCGAATATTCCCTACCCCTAACCACTTCACCTGCTGCCTGTTTCCCTTGATGTTCAATGACATAGATTTCAAGTCAGCAATCACAGCTTAAAGTCTAATGTAGCATTTTCTCATTTTAAATTTGGTTACATTTGAGAAGCCACTCAAAAGTATATTTAAAAAATTAAACCTCATTTCACAGATGTTAACATCAATGGGGTTACATCGGAGAAGAGCAAGTGGACTTTGGCCAAACCCTGATAAAAGGTCCTATCCCCAGGAATCGACGTGAGGAGAAGGAAGACAATTAAACGCCCAGACAGATTAGGAAGTCCTAGGATGGAGGGACCTGGGCTGTCCTTTCCTTGGTGATTCATGATGCCAGCAAGCTATCCCAATCCCAAAAGCCTGGGACACCGCTCAGTAGAGTAGGGATGGGATGACTGAATGGTGGGTCTACAGGGGCGCAATGGAGCTCTCTAGCATTCCTCATGCCACCACATGGTGCAGGAGTGCAAACATGTTCCCAAGAGCCCAAGAGAGGCATAAAAATCAACTGAGAGAAAGCTGAACAGGAAAGACTCTGAGGTCTGGGGAAGAAAACTTTAACTGGGCCGAGAATCTGGCAAAAGGATGGGTAGCTCTGTGAATGACACCATGGAGATACCTATAACCCAGACCAGCAAACTCCTCTCTTTCACATCCTCACGTCATAAATTCCCTGATAGTTGGATATAGTGTATTGCACAGACTATGCTAAAATCAGGTAGTTCCACACTCATGCTTGTGAACAGACTCCCAGCCTGTGAATCTGGTGTCCCAGGGTGACTAATGCCTGTAAGATCCTTTGTGTGGTATAGATAATCAATTTTATAGGGTTTATAGTGTTCCACCTAAACTGTCTCTATAAGCCCAGTCAACGCAATTCTCTTTTGGATTTTCCACGCGTACACTTTGGATGACACACAAGTGATCTCAAAATGGTTAGGTTCACCCTGGCTCATATTTTGGCACAGTCTGTAATTAGACTGGCAAAAGTGCATCTCCCTCATCCTTACCTGGAATGCCAGGGGGGCCGGGAGGTCCAGGTGGCCCTTGGTAACCTCTGAAGCTATAATCTCCATGACAACACTTGCTGCAGTCTGGGGGCAGTCCTCCGGTTGGTGGAGACTTTAAAAAGATACAGAGATGAGCTTCAGAGAAAGGTATTTGTGAGTAACTAAGACTTTTGAATTTCCTCTGGCCTCTTCCCTAGGTAAATTGAACTCTAAACAACCCATAGCAACATCAGAAAAGATGGTGCGGGGTGGGGATGGCAATGGCAAAAGAGTCAGAGAGTAGCTAAGGTGAACCGAAGATCAAAAGGAAAAGGAAACAAGAGAGTCAGTAGAAGAACATGCTTTTGGGGAAGGAGCGTGAGTGGGGTGGGGGTGGGGGCAGTATGCCTGAGAAGTATTCTGCTGCCGCTACTGATGGCAACAGAAGAAGAACCTCCGAAAGTGGACCTAGACGCATCCCCTCATCCCCAGCTGCCAGAATTCTCACATGTAACTAGATTGAGTAGATGGTCCTCAAATGATAAGAATTACCAACTTCGAATAAAGATATTAAGACTATCTATAATTCATAATATTAGGTTAAGAGTTCTTAGAAATTCTGAATGGTAATATTACCTTTTCAAACAGCCATGACACCCTCAAATTATCTTAGGAAATTAAACAAATGAAGTATTAGTTCAAGAACTTTTGTTAATTATCTCATTTTAAGTTGGGTTTCCTTTGAGAAGCCACTCAAAAATATTTTTAAAATATTAAACTGCAGTTGATAAACATTAAGATCCACGGTGGTACATCAGAGAAGTTGTTTCTCTAGAAACGATTTTGACTTCCTAGGAAAAAGTATTTAACATGATTTTCTATTTTATATTCCACTTCAAAATTTAAATTATCGTATCGTTTGAACCATATTTAATGAATACTTAAAAGGTACTAAATGAATTCATATATGACACGAGTTAAATGCTCATTTATTCAAAGATAAATTTCTAAAATTTGTGCTTTCACTTCGGGAAGCTAGAGAGCTGGTTGAAGGTGACTGGAAGAAGAGTCGGAGTTGCTCATCAAATTTGGAGTCTCATCTAATTTGGCAACTTACCTTTTAATTCTGTCATACAAAATACTTGTGGAAACTTTCCTAGACACCGATTATAATTCAACAGTTTCTTGAAAACAGCATGTTGTTGCTAAGGGATTCATTTTAAAAAGGAAAAGAGAGAGGGAAGAAGGAAAGAAGGGGGCGGGGAGAAAGGGAGAGAGAGTGGAAGAAAGGAAGAAAAATAGAAAGTTCCCGTTTTCTCCATTATTAGAAATCCAAGCAGAAAAGTAGATCAGAGCTTCACAGTGCTGAACATTTAGACTTTACTTTTTTGTTAATCAAAAATGGGCTTGGATTTTTTCCTCACTCTCTCATTCCTTTTCCCTAAAGATTTCCACCAAGCTATTTGGGGAAAATACAGAACAGTGTCTGCAGTCCGGGCATTCTCCTGAAGCAGCTGAAAGCTCAAGGCTTGAGTGATCAGGAGTTGATGATTGGGAGCTAGCTCTCGGTCTAGTCTTCAGCCCACCAGACTCAAGCGTGTACAGACGTGAAAATCTACGGAAACCTTTTTTGAAACTGAAACTAGTAGAGGAGAAGAAAATCAGTGAAGTAATCGGATTGAGACAAGGGCTTCCAGACACTTGGAAAGTCAGACACCACAGCACCGCCCAACTTTCTAATTCAAAGATGCAATCTGAGAAGTAAGTATTCCATCATTTCCTGCTGCGATTTTGTTAATGTGAAATACAGCTCTTTAAGTTCCAAGAAATCTGGGACTCTTCTAAAAATGGATTTTAGAGAAGAAGGGGTGAGGGTGCCGGAGGGAGGGGCGGCGAGAGGAGAGAATCATTTGTTTAAGAATAGAATTGAAATACTGAGATGTTAAGAATGTTAGAAAGATGACTGAACAGGAATCTGAATTCCCATCTCAGTCCTGCGTGACTCTAGTGAACTCATTTTTCCCCAGACATCTTTTTTTTTTTTGTCTACTAAATTAGAGGATTGGGCAAGATGGTCATGAATTTCCTTTCCAGCTCTAAGATGCAAAGATACTAAAGCCTTTGCCAAAGCCTCAGATGATGACTTCGAAAGATTTTGTTTTAAAGTCTGGCATCTAGGCATGAGGAGATGGGGTTGCTCGGTATCGGAGCTAACTGGGACGAGGTGCATGTCCGTGCTACCTGGGGCACTTCCAGAGCCTAGAGCTGCCACCAAGACAGGGAGAGAGCTCTGGTTACTACTAGTCGGGCAGCTTCGGAGAACCGCTATGCAACATTTCACATGTTCCTCCCCTGGCCTTGTCTTTCAAAGTTCAGTCAAGTGGGACAAAGTGGGCACTTCCAGAGCCTAGACCTCCAACCAGGAAGGGAGGAGAGCTTTGTTTACTACTGGCCGGGCACATTCGGAGACCGCTATGCAACATTTCACATGTTCCTCCCCTGGCCTTGTCTTTCAAAGTTCAGTCAAGTGGGACAAAGTGAGCCTTTGATACAGTCTTAGAATGAGTTGGCAAGATGTCTTAATTGAGAAGTTTTCTCCTAGGTAAGGGAGAATACATATTAGATAGTTACCGTATACCACCCTCTTAAGTTTATCAGCCCCTTTTCCAAAGTTAAGTCAAATTTGAACACCGAGGACATGCAAACGAGCGACACGAGATGAGGAAGGTGACTCTAAGACAAGTACCATCCATTTTAGAGATGGAGGCCTAGGAGCAGCTACTCAGAATAGAGCTCTACTACCAGGAAGTAACTTCTGGGAAACATTCCCTCTCTCCTTGTTTAAGCTAAGGAAGAAGGAAGTCACTTTCCCCCAGAAGGGAAGTGGAAAGAGGGAGAGATTCTTAAAGGCGAATGATGAAGAGCTGCAGAGAAGAAAATGCCAGGCAGAGAGAGCCCCGGTCTGCTTGCCACTGTCTCTGCACACACTCTAATCCATCACAAAGCCTGTGGCAGAGTCATCGAAGAGCACAAAGTTGACCACCTCACTGCCCTGCTGTAAGTAAATAAGCAACATTTTTGCTGGCAAAGTAAGATCTAACCAGACAACGGAATTCTCCAGCCTGGCCCCAAAATCATCCCACGTCTTCCTCCCACACCTCAGGAGCCTCAGTCCCACGCACTCCTCACGGGCTCTCTCAAGTCTCTTCGCTGTGGCACATATTAGTTTATTTCTTCCATGGATAGTCATCGTTTTGTCTCGTCTTTCAGATCCAGCTTAGCAGTCGCCACCACTCTGACACTTTTTCCCCAACTGCCTTCTGTGGATTGACTTTGTGACACGGTATTTAAATAGCCCCGTTGCAATTTCGGAACTGTTCAGAGATAAGAACTCGGTCATATTTATACCCATCCTAAAGCTCGGCACGTTGTAGAAGCACAGGATATGATTGGTGAGAGAATAAGTGAGGCAAAGGGGAATTAAAATAAAAGAAGAAAAGTAGGGGAAGTGAGGAAAGAAGGAAGAACACAGTCCACTCTAAAATTCGACGCGGTCTCCATATCCACTGGCAGACGAGTTGTTTTGAAAGCCTCGGGAACAGGGCTCCCCGACCCCCGGGCCGTGGACCGGTACTGGTCTGTGGCTTGTTAGGAACCAAGCCGCAGAGCAAAAGGTGAGCAGCAGGCCAGCAGGCGAAGCTCCATCTGTATTTGCAGCCGCTCCCCAGCGCTAGCATCACTGCCTTGGCTCCACCTCAAAGCCATTAGATTCTCATAGGAGCACTTGTCCCTGTTGCCAAAAAGGCTGGGGACCGCTGCTCTCGAATACCAAGGACTAAATCTGAGTATCTAAATCTCCTGTTGGGGGTTCGTTTGGAAATATTTCAGGAACCTGGAGGAGTTTAAAAGCCCCTCTCGGCTTAAAAAACAGCCAGAAAGTAACTTCTTGCCCCCCTCATCTGATGCTTAGGGGGACTAGAAGGTGGAGTGGAATAGAAATTAATTTGGAATTTCAGTGGCCTGCTAGGTGTTAGTTGCCAAGAAATAATGATCAATGGCAGTCTATATCTGTCTTCTGCTGCCTTTGGGGGTTCACACTGTCATAACCAGGAAGGATCCAGCAAAGACCTCATCTATTGAAAAGGAAAGTCCAGATCAGGGCTTGGACAAAAATGAAAACATCTTCACCACTATGGAAAACAGAAATTAGCATCCATTACCCTTTAGCCAAAAGATTGTCAAACGAAAAGACAATCTCTGAAAGTGGTTTAAAAAAAAAAGAGTGTGCCTTTAAAGGTTATCATTTCTTCTGTGGCTCCTTAGAGAAACAATTTTTTCTTAACACAGGCCCACAGGACAGTTTGGGCAACTGCAGTATGTGGAAGAATTAGAAATTCAAGGTCAGTCCCAGATCTACTGTGGCTTCTGTGTGAGATCTTGGTCTGATCAGATGACCGGCCTCAACCCAAACTCCCATCTGTGGTTCGAGGGGTTAGGTATCAACTGCAGTTGCTTTTTCGGGGCCTCTTTAATGCACTGAAGCAGTCAGTTCTTGCAGTAAACCTATTGGTTCAAAGATTATATACTTCAAAGTAACCCTCCTTGCCCCGCCCCATCTGCTTTCAGCATGCTTGATATCTAGAAGGTAAACCAAAATCTCTTTCTGCCTTATGTTATACACCTTAAACTAATATAACATTATGTCAAGTATACCTCGACTAAAAAATTCTAAAATAATTTTTTACATGAAGACATTAAAAAGACTTTCTTCCTGTTCTTAATGTGTTAAATTACATTGAGTTTCACTAGTTTGCCATTCACTACACTGAAACCTTAACACACTCCCATAGTGCCCTAAAAGAGTTAAAGATGTTTCCTTATTGCTAAGCTTATACTCTGAGAAATAAATCAAGTCCTCGGTGATTAGCAGGCATTAAGTCATATAAAAAGCTTTGCATTTTAAAGACATAGTCTTTTCGTTTTGTTTTGTTTGAACTCTTTGGTCGGTTTTTAAACAGGCTGAGCATAGAAACTTAGCAACCTAAAATGCTATAAATCAAATCAACAAGCCTGGCACAAACTGTCACAGTAAACTGCAAGTCAAAGTGGAAAAACTCAATGGGCAGCTTCTCCCTGCTGGGAAGGATTAAGAAAGTTTAATTCCCTTATGATCAGCAGATGATTCTCTCCAGCCATTCTTCTATCGGCAAAGGTCAGCACGCCTTTCTGCACCCACAGAAGAAAGGCAAGGACGATGCTGCAGCCTCTCTTTACCCCAGCACATCCACGCTACCTCTGCTGGTCTTCCAACCGAGATCCGCAGTCCCCTCTGTATCCCAGAGCAACCCAGAAAGAGACCCACAAGCAGCTCAGCAAACTTCTCGAAAGCATTCATCCCCAGAATCATAGCAGAAGAGAGCAAGAACAACAAAACTCATGAAGCTTGCACAGTAATCCTTAGAAGAGAATTCTAAGTACCTGGCCCCAGAACGGGGTGATCTGGGCTAGGTCATCTACCTCGGGGTGTGGTAGCTCATCTGGTCTCAGGGATTTTAGGTCTGTAGAAGTGTTATTATCCACAGTCCCAGTTTTAGGATGGCTCCGCTCTCTCACTTTCTCCCTCCTGGAGCCGCTATGGCCAGTCTGCTGGTGGCTTTGCACTATTCTCGCCACCACTTTATTAGCTCTTCCGCTCACCTCCATGTATTCATCTTGACACAGGCAAAATGGGAGGAAAAATAAAGCCAGCAGGTGCCAACAGACGAGCTGCCCCAGCATGATGCTCAACGGAGCCACAGAGCGTCCTGGAGAAGATGGCTGGGGCTCCAGGCGCCGTGGTCTCCTCGGGCGAATGCCAGAGCTAGAGACAGAGCTGCAGCCAGCCGGGTGGTTTTTATACTTTGGTGTGTAATAAATAAGGCTGCAGGCATGCCAGAGGGAAAGCAGTCCTCCTCCCCATGCAGAACAGCCCATTCATCACTTTCCCACATCACAGGCACAACGGATCTGTGTGCACAGCTCCCAGTTGGTGGGGTTCATAAATGTCACACCTTGGCATGTTTTTTGTCAAAGTGTGAAGAAAACATATGCAACCAGCTGGAAACAGGGAGCGTGTGTCCAAGCGTTTGCTTTTGTGATTAGATATGGAAAGGCGGTGCCTCTGTGGTCTAAGATGTCTTTTGGAAAAACTGACCCTGGGGCTTGCCAGGAAATCTGAGCTTAACTGCAACAATTCTGTCTGCAATGGCAATCGTGGGAGCTCCCCCTGCGCAGTCAGCATTTCCCCTTGTGCCCAGCTTAACGTAACTCATTTCCCCTTCCAAACGCCAGCAGCGGGAGGCAGCTGGGTGACTCCAGAACACTGAGCTGGATTCAGGCACAGAATCTCTGGGTTTAGCAAACACATTTCCCAGTCCTCCGTTTTATTTCCTTGTCCCTTGAGTTTCCAAAAGCCAAAGTTTAAATGAAGTTAACCAAGTCGCCGATCACCAGACAAAGATACAATGTCCTGTTTCCCTTTAAAAGAATGTTATTTGTCTCTGGCTACTCTTCCTTCTGACATAGTCTTGATTGAAATTGAAGAAATGGAAACTGACAGACCAAACACGCTGCTCTGAGTAGTTCAGGATGGAGAGAATTCTCATTTCCTTTATTTTGCTCACTAGACTTTTCATTAATTCAGCCAAATGGACATTCCTAATGTCTTTGCAATAATAAATTAAGAGAATTTATACAGGTTCGTCATTAACAATTGCTTCTATTTACATATCATTTCATTTAATATTACTCATTCACTCACATGATATAAATTCACTGGCCCTCCCCCAGGAAGACTGAAGAGACTCAGGGACTGAAAGGGGTGGATGGATCGCAAGTGTCTGAAGCTAAGTGGACAAGGGGAGCACTGTGAGAAAGCCAAAGCCCGGAGCAGCCAGGCGTGTCGATGATGCAGCAGAACAGCTGGAGAGAAGGAAGAGGCAAGAAGACTGCCCTCAGCTGCCCCTCGCACTCAGCAAAAGGGCCTGAGGACCAAAGCCATCTCCTGAAGCAAGTTGCGTCACTCCTGCAATTGTTAGAACAGCTGCCTCCAGAGCCCACATTTACACATTGAAAGAATTTGGTGCTGGGAATGGAGTTAGAGAGTGAGAGAGAGATTTTGTAAAATAAAAGCTCTCCAGTTCATGGAGAGACCTTAGGGACCTTAAGAGTCATGCTTGAGTATTCAATGCAAGTAGTTCCCATCCAAAGGGGTCTACCCTTAGGTGTCCAAAATTTCTTCATTGTGTTCTGTGCTGAGTACTCTTAGGCAAATATCCCTGTGGAGAGAGCAGTACATCAAGCTGTCATCTGGCATTAGCTCTTACTGAGGACCTTGAAAGAGACGTGGAGCTGGAGACTAGGGAAGCATAGCACCCAGGTCCTATGAACAAGCAAGTAGATGGAATATTGCTGTGGGAGAAAAGTCCCAGAGCAGTGTCTCAGTGGGGATACCCCGTCATCAGGGAGGTCTGTAAACAATTTTACAGGGAGACCACAAGGCAAGAAGTGACTCTGAAATCTAGGTCACCTAATTCACAAGTCTTCTAAGAGCAGTCTCTGGCAGCTGCCACAACCTGAGCCATCTGGCTGAGTGGCTACAAGTCAATCTCTTCTGACTTTCAACTGCATTGAGAATTTCCAATGGTGTTTTCAGTCCTTTCATTTATTCTAGTGAGTCTCAATCCTGGCTGCGTAATAAAATAAACCAGGAAGCTTCTAAATATATCAGTGCCTGGATTCCATCCTAGACCAATTGAGTAAGACTCTTTAGTAGGGCCTGGGCACCAACAGCTATTAAAAAGTTCACCAAGAAGAGTCTAATGTGCAGCCCGGGTTAGAAATCACTGACCTGCTCTTTCCTTAACTACAGATATAATAATAATATTTATAATTTCTTGAGCACTTACCATGTGCCAGCCAAGTACCTCTTTTCTTTAGCTCACTGACTTTTCTCAGTAAACCTATTATCCCATCTTATGGATAAGAAAACAGAGGCTCAGAGAGGTAAAGTGACTTGCCTAGTGATACATAGTTGGGAAGGTGTCATCATGACTTGCTCCCATCTGTCCTCCTGCCTTCCTACAGAGAAGCAGGGGAAGACCAATGACAGGCTGACTGCAGAAAGAAGGCTAGCTTTGTGACTGCCAGGAGGCCTGCCCACAAGAATCTGAGGTCAGAGAGTTATGAGTTGAATTGTATCACCCAAAAAGATGAAGTCTTAACCCTCAGTATTCGTGAGTATGGCTTTATTTGGAAAGAACGTCTTCATAGCTGACCATGTTAAGATGAGGTCATTAGGGTGGGGCCTAACCAGACATGCACACAGGGAGGACGCCATGTGAAGATGAGAGCAGAGATCAGAACGATGCACTTACCAGTCAAGGAACAGCACAGGATAGCAGCGAACCACCAGAAGCCAGGAGACGGACACAGGACGGCTTCCCCCACGTAGCCCTCGGAGGATCCAGCTCTGCTGACACCTTAATCTCAGACTTCCAGCCTCCAGAAATATGAGACAATAAATTCCTTTATTTAAGCCACCCGATTTGTGCCACTTTGTCATAGCAGCCCCAGCAAACCAATACAGACAGCATGCAGAGAAGCTTGAAAAAACTCCACACTTATCATCTTACAGACAAAAGGATGTCGGTCTGAAAAAATTTACCTAATTGGTCAAGTTCATCCATGGAGAGTAGCAAATCTGACCCAGAGAAGAATCCCTAGCCTCTCAGTACAGGTCTTCTTACCTACTTCCAGTACCTTCCCATGAATGCATTTTAAAATTTGGCTTATTATTAAATCTTACTCGGGGTTGTCATTTCATACACACTTTGTCAATGTCCCTTGTTCAAAGAAGTGAATTAGAGTTAGGCATAATTTCTTTCCTGCGTGCTGAGTATTGAAAATATCTAGAATCTGCCCCAGGCAAACTCTGGGAGAAGCTGGAGTCCCACTTCTGCACCCCTGTCTCTGTCTGTGAAAGCTCACAGAAGATGCCTGGGGACATCCAGCTGCTAAGATGCGCGGAGACTGCCACTGAATCTTGTTCAGCTGGCCCCACGAGTCCAGCCAGAATGTTGGCACAGCTACCACCAGGAGCAGCAGAGGTGGACAGGAATATGTGTGCAAACTCAGCTCTGTGAAGCAGCTCTGTCAGCCAGAGGTAAATGTTTATTTAGCTTTACAAAGAAAGCTGTATGAGATGTGTAGGTACCTCACGGCCTCCCCCAGGGAGTGCCACTGTGGCCTTGGCCAAAAGGAGATCAGCTATGGTCTGGCAAGGGACAGGCAAGAACTGAGTGAGACTGAACATGCCTTTATATCAGTGCCAGCTTGAAGGGTAGCTAAAGAAGGCATTTGTTTGCGTGACTTTCAGGCACAGGGGAGTGCGGCTCCCCTCTCTCTACCCTTTCCCACTGAAAACCTTCCCTGTACTCAGCTCTTTGAGTCCTGAGGTTCTAAAACCAAGGCTTGTTCCCTTTGATTTAAACAAACTAGAGGTATATTAAAACGTAAATAAAGTTAAAAGAGTCCCGAGACAAGGTAGTTTAGCTGTATTGGTCATTTATATTTTGATAGCGAAGGCCTTTTCAGATCTTTTCCAGAAGAGTTTTATTTGGAGAAGAATTAAAAGAAAGGAACATGGTGTGTTTGGAAAGAGCGCATTGTCTCTCAGTATCAACTCTTGCCATTCGAAGAAAGAGCAGGTTTGTGCTTGGCATCGATATGAGGCAAAATCAGGAGCGCGAGAGAAGGCGGACGACTGGTCAGGGTGTCATCGCCTTGGTGGCGTTAACAGAATTTGGGGTCTGAGCCTCATCAGGCAAGTGCAGGAAACACATCGCTGGGAGTGGATCGGTCTCCATGGCCAAAAGAAAGCTGTCAGAAACGGATGTATAAAAACAGCCTTCAAATGAAAGGTATAACTCTCAAGTGGACTGTACATGGTTTATGTGTTTGCTGAACAACAAATTCTCCCTGTGGAAATTCTACATGAGAAGTCAATTCTAATCAGAAAGATGCATGGTAAACAAAGTGTGTGTGTGTGTGTGTGTGTGTGTGTGTGTGTGTGTGTGTTTGTGTGTGTGTGTGTGTAAGAGAGAGACAGAGAGAGAGAATTGGAATTTGTTGGATAATAGATCGTTAATGGCTGGTATATGTGTCGCTCAGGGTTCAAACAGAAATCACCCTAGATAATTCAACAGAAAGAATTTAATATAAGGAATGGGTTGAACACACAGATAGTAACTATAGGAACAACTATCTCCTAAGGCTGGAAGCAGAAAGAGAAGAGGTTGGTGTTGTCAGAATTTAGAAGCTGGAAGAAGGGGCCCTGCAGAGCTGAGACTGAGACAATAAAGGACGGATCCCTGTGTGGCTAAAGCTGGCAACTTTGTCAGGGTACAATTAGGCTAATTCTAGGAATATAGAGAGACGTTGGCCTGGAACCAACTACAGCTACCAGAATGAAGGACCCTTGCTCAAATGGCACAAAAACAGCAAGCAAAAGGAAAGAGCAAGTATCTTGTGGGATCCTTCTACCTTCCAGCACCTTCCTCCAGCACTCTCCTACTGGCTGACAAAGGAGAAAAGTAATTTGCAGAGTCCTAGTCCCAGCTTCTATGGCAGAGCTTTGAAGGCTGGGGTGGAGCTTGGAGACAACAGCATAACTTTAATAACAGATGCACCAATGTCCTCTTCAGGAATGTTCCCGCCACAGGGGACAGGTACTCAAGTTTCTAGGGCAGCACTTGAGATACATCTCTCAGGTGAGTCTGTCTGAATTCTCTTTTTATAAATTTTATTCAGTTCATCTCCATTTTTCCAAATAATTTCTTTCTCTCTCTCTCTTTTTTTTTTTTCATACAGAGGCCAGT